TGCACAGATCTCTATCACATGTCCTTGGACAGTGCTGTGGTAAAGCTAGTTGTGGCTAGCTAGATGAAGCTGTTGGGAAAAAAATAAAAATAAAAGATGTGTGCTGCATCATCCTGTTGAATGAATTAGGTGTATTTTTAAACATGTCCATCAAGTGAGGCATATTAAAAAAGTCGGTTTATTAGATACTCTAAAGGCTGGAAACTCTGCCATACACACACAAATATCTGTCAATTGCTTGCAGGGTTGCTTAAAATTTGTTATAAATATCTAGACGCAAGCTCGCCATAAAAGTTTTTATGATGCTATATTTGAGATATTGTTTCCTTAATATAAAATATTTACAAGGCTCTTGTGAGCACTTACACAATTCATTAACTAGCACCTATTTCAAGCACCATGATGTACGGCAATCGTTCAGGTTAATTGAGTGTATTAATGTTATTGCTAAGTTTGGACCAGCGGCTGCTCAGATGGAGAAACAGCTGAAGGGATGCTCAAACCTGCTATCAAACAATCTAGACTAAAAATAACAATCTTTATATATACAACCTTGTATATTACATGTTAACGCCAGTTTTAATCTGTGACTAAAACATAACTCCCTTATATAATTTCTCAGGACAACCAAGATTTGGTTTTGATTTGATCCTTCTTTAGTGTCTTCATTTAAACTGTTTTCTAATTTATTCCAGTTATTTTATCTCTGATCAATACACAGTCCATATCTATAAAAATCCTAAGTAATAAAAAAAAATGTCAGTTATCATGAAAGCACTAAGTCTTTTGAAACTGTCATTTGCAAAATGTTTTGCTGAATCTGTAGAATTCTTCCTGAATGGAGTTTTATATTGTAGATCTAAGTATTAAAAGGTTTATTTAAAGCTACCTTTATGAAAAGACAGTCAAAAGTCATTGTGTGAGATCAACGGATTGATTGAAAAAAAAAATGCCCTATTCACATTTTGAAAATGACATGATTAAAAAAGAAAAAAATATAGAAGTAAGAGAAACGTTTCAAGAACAAGTTATTTTACAGTTTCTGTTTAGTGATTTGCAGTTTCTAATATTGCATTTTCCTGCCTTTTATAACTGCAAACTCATTATCAAATCGACTAAGGGAACGAACACAGAAAGTCATCTGAAAGAGCTTCAGCCTGTTTGTGTCGTCTGCACCTGTCACACAAATGTTAGCTGAAACCAATGCTTGCATAAACACCGACTGATAGCTGAAGTAAAGTCCCAGTTTTCTGTGAAAAAGCCATTATAAGCTGTCCCCTTCTCAGCCTTAAAAACATGTCTGGCTTTGTCAACTCAGAATGTGAGAATCCTTCGAATACAGGGGAAAACTTTATTAGAAGCTTTGTTTTATTGAATCAAAATTAAATTGGCCAAATTCACTTCGATTAGCTCTGATTGGGTAGTTTACACTCAGAGTAAAACAATACATCAAGCATATAAGATTAGATGACCCTCAATATAAGGAGATTATTTGACCTTACAAAGAAAGCAAAGGGTTAAAAATCAACAAAAGGTGTTTCAAAGATTCTGTAGCCAATCTAGACCATGTTCTATGTTTACAAATACTATATTTCCATTTACATAAATGGAATATAGAGATAGAGAATATAGAATAAGTATGATTCCACGTTCCCAGACCAAGTTTAAGCATTAGTGCTGCCCAATCAACTTTGCAGTGGATTGCACCCTCATGGTTGCACTACGGGAGGTAGGCCCTCATCACTCCTTTGTGCTTGGCCTGGCCAGGTTCAGCAAGGATGAAATGACGAACAGGTGCTCAGCAACAAACACCACCCAGAGGCTCCAGTGTAAAGTCCCAGCTCTGCCATACCGGGGTGACATCAGGTGCCTTGATGTTTTTGGTCTCAGACTGGTCGGCCTCCAGTCCTACCTTAAACCTATGGTCATGGCATGAAAAGCAACTGAAATGGGCTTTCTCTTTTCAGAGTAGCTGGGCCCTCCCTTAAGTAGGGTGAGGAGTTTTGCTGTCAGGTATCGGCTCTGTGTAGAGCCCTTTCACTCCACATTGAGAGAAGTAGTTAAGGTGGTTTGCTCATCTTTTTTTGATGCTCCATGGATGCCTCCCTTAGGGGATGTTCCAGGCATGTCCCACCTGGAGGAGACCCAAGGAACAACCCAGGACAAGCTATAGGGAATATGTCTTTCAGCTGGCCTGGGAGCACATTGGGCTCCCCTGTGTAGAGCTGGAGGAGGTGTCTGAGGAGATGAAAAGGGTTTGATTTGCTTTGTTTTTTTAGCTAGTTGCTGCAGAAGATCACTGTCTGATCTCCTGCTTAAGTGTCCCTGATCAGTGACCACTGAAGCACCTGAAATGTGTCCAAAGGGGCAATCTAAAAACAGTGGTAAGAACTTTGCAGATGTTTGTGGTTGAAAAGCCTGACAAAGTTTTTGATCAGAAGGTAGCAATAAATGGTAACTATATACTTTGGTAACTATATCCTGTCTCACTTTAAAATAAGAATCCCACATATAGATGCAATGTGTAAATGTTAACACCCCTCCTTTTTATATAGAAAGTTTTAATATTACCTTACACTTGATTTAACCAACAAAGTCACATACTGGCACCAACTAAATGGGTCTATGTCACTGAAGAGAAATATTTTACAGCTGCAAAGAGATATTTCTTCGCGCTACTGTTACACCTGAAAACCTCAAACAGTTTTACATGTTAAATTAATTCACATCTGAGTTTAATAAAAAAAAGATTAGGAACATCCACTGATGCATGAACAACAAAATTACTTCATGTTTGGTATAACATATGCCAAACAAAATAATCTTGTGTATATGTTGAGGAATTCTGTCTGCCTAACTGGAAAATTTGCACAGAGAAAATTAGTTGAGATCAAAAGCGAGTGCTATTATAGATCGTAAAAAAGAAACTGAATTTGGCATCTCTGACCTCAAAGAAAAACCCAAGTTTTTGTTAGTTATCGAAATGTTAGCTTCATAACCATTAAGATTTTTAATGTAAACTCCTGTTTTTTTTAAGTCTTTTTAAGTAGACTGTGTTGGAAACACTGAAAATATGCTAGCTTAAGCAGCTGTATTGAGCTTACCTAGCACACATCCACCACCTGCTGCTGCACATTGCCAATCAGCTTGCTGGCAGAGGGCAACCATAGGGTTTTCAAGTAATGAAAAAAGGGTTGTGTGGAAAAACATAGACATTCATGGCATGAAAACAGAAATGCCACTTATCACTTTTGCTCATTTTATAGATTTTCATTAACTACAAATGATTTGATTTTGTAATAAAAATGCCAAAACGCTATAAAAGCAAGATATTATAATGTAAACCATGCTTAGCATTGAAAATCAAGTGCCCGATAAAAACATTTTATTTTAACAGTTGTTTGACAACAAAAATCGGTTAAAATTGTGATAACAAACATGCTAGATTACCTGTTATTATCTGTCTGTTTATTACTAAAGGACAATAAATAGACAGAACCAACTTCCTGCTGCGGTGACAGGCAGTCCTTAAAAACATTTGAGCAATGTATCAATGCACAAACTACACTGCTATTTTTTTCCCTGTTCATGTTAAAGCAACACTTGTGATAAAATCAGCTTGTGTATTTATGCTAAAGAAGGCGGTCCTTTGTGAATAAGTTCAAGTGAGACTTTAAATGGGCACTAATCTCCTTCCCTGAACATCCAAGAGCTACGGGGGGTCTGATCCACTCCTGCACACACACACTCCCCTGCTGGGGAGATCAAGAGATAGATATATTACTTCCTATGTGTACAGGGAAAATGTACTCAAACCCTTGGATCAACCAGGAACATTTATAGGTATAGGATCTAACACAAGGAAGATTTTCGCCTGACTGAAAACACACACAGATATGCAGAGTACATTGACCAATTGACTTTCTACGAATGCAAGAACAGTCAACCACAACCTGACAGCTGACACCCTGATAAAGACAAGTGAGGACCTCTCTGCATCGCGTGGGTAAAGTCACAGAGGTCAGAGCTTAGTTTCCACATCAAACCCCAGAGCAGGGGACAGTCTAAGCCCCCTCCAACCTTCCTCTCTCCTACCCTCCCACTCTCTTTTGCCCACCCACCCCTTTGCACAAATGCACACACAACCCACACTCTTCTCCTCCTCCTCTTCTCCCTCCTCCCTCTCTGGATGTACAAATGCCTTTGCTGTCAGCTCTGTCCTGGACCCCTGTAATTGAAAATAACAGCTAAGGGCCAGCCCCCGGCCACCCTCCCCACCCTGGTGGCTCTTTGCTGTGGTGACAGCCACCCATCAATACCAATGACTATTACCCTGGAAGTGAGAGCGCCACCGATGACATCCAAGACACCACCCCTGTAACACTCCCCCAAACACACACCAGCGTCCTTCCTCAGCTACCCGAGCCTCCTAATGTTTAACCCGTTGCTACCATTGGGGTTGGTTGGAGTTGAGACAAACAAGCCGGTCTCTCTCACACCCAGGGAAATTGCGCGCTCAGGCGTAAACAACTCTTAGCCATGCAAAGAGCAGCAGTAAACTTTTTGCAGTGCCATGTCCTCCCATCAAGACACTGATCCAGCTTTACTGAACAACATCTCAACACTGTTAAGCCCATCTGACTCAAGAGGAGCAGAACTATCTCCAGTGTTAAAGTCCAGCTGATGCTCTTGTTCACTCTGAGTGTGATCACTTTTTGTTTCCTGTGCTCATGACAACCCATGAACACGCACTGGCAACAGAGGTTTCATGCCCACTGACCATCACTCAGGGGGTCTCTTGTTTCTCTCGACCCCAACATTGAGGGACACCAAACACAATGCCATAGGTGATGTGAGATGTCATCCGCTTTGACAGAGCAATGACAGCTGAATGAGGTGCGCTGAGCAACACAAGCACAAAGCACAACGTGACGAATGAAACAGACATTCAGGGGGTAGACAAGCAATAGAGAAGAAGACGAGAGAAAAAACGCACAGACCTTGTCAAAAGCTGCAGAGCCGTGGAGACTAGGAGACTGTTTTCCTTTCCACAGTCCTCTCTGTCTCGTCTCCTCTCCCTTTCCTCTTCTCTCCTCTCACTCTGCGTGAATGTGCGTGTGTGTATGTGTGAGTGTGTGAGCGGCTCCCTCCCCTACACTTCTGCCTCTCAGCTGCTCAGCTCGGGCAGTTCTCAGGAAATGAATGGGAGCGCACAGAGAACTGTTGTACTTGCAAATGACTTACCCCGAGTCACATGATCCGCTAAATGTAGGGTGGGCCGGTGGGTGGAGGCTTCATAAACGAAAAGGGAAGACAATATACTCTAAGCTTTAACAGCGTGCATCGAATTACATGGGGCCCCTCCGGGGAGGTTTCCGACGCGCCCGGACTCCCTCAGTGCGCCCCGGGCTGCACCGCTGCACCTCCACGGTTAAAGGGCCAACGAATTCACTCCAGTTATATCATACTGCTGTTCACAGATACATTTAAATGTGTTTTTTTTTATTATAAACATATATAGAAAATAACTTTAACATAACTGACGCATAAAAAGTCTTCTTTTAGGAATTTGTTGCAACATTAAAAAATAAGAAATAAAAACAGTTAAACATATTAAATAGGCTATCGTTACATTTTCAGCACGAGGTGAACTGATAATTGATGATTTAGGGCAGCTAAAAAAAACAACAACTAATAATTAGCTCAAAAATGGAAATAATAAAAAAAAATGGTATTCTTAATTCAGACAATTTGTCTTCTCAAATTTAAAGGTTTTAATTATTCATTATAAAAAAAAATCAATATTCGATATATATTGAGCAAACTTAAAAATACATTTGTCAGAGAATGTTATTCAATTTCTACACCAAAGCTACATTTTTCATGTTCTGTACCTTAAATAAATAAATGAAATACTGGTGTGCCCCTTAAATTTAAATTGTACTGCTGCTGAATCCATGATTTTATCTTGTATTAAAGTTGTTGAGCTCATACGTCCGGGTTGCTCAGAGAGTGTTCTAGAAATGTTTCAGGGCCAACATTGATGTTTAAATCAGCACCTTGTTGGATGCAAGCTGTGTCATACCTTTAGTTAAAGCATAGAGGAAACATTTTTGCTGTTTCTTGTGCTAAAAAGCTTTTTTTTGGTCCAAGTATCCTTCGGTCTACTCAACCCCCAGCTGCAAATCATTTTCTAAAGCCAGCATCTCAGTCCTTGCACACACAGGTTGGCATATGCCGATCTTGTGGTCCATGGCCTTTGGACGGAATTTTGGCTCAACAACTAAGCCCCAATAAGAAGCAAATTAAACCAAGGTGATAGGGTGGGGCAACTAGAGAAATTAAATTTTTAGGTGTCTGCTTATTTAATGTAGCTAAATATACATTTCTCAAAAAAGTAAAGGGACAACACACTTTTGGTGGCATGAGACAGACTCTAAAATCCACATAAGTGGCTCAGATTGTGCAGCTCATCCAGGATGGCACTTCAAGGTAGGCTATGGAAAGGTGTGTCTGTAAGCGTAGTGTCCAAAGGCTGGAGGCCTTCCCAGCAGACAAGCCAGTACACCACTAGAGGTGGAGGAGGCTGTAGGGGGGGACACAAAGCAGCGGCAGAACCATTACCTCCACATCTGTACCAGGAGAAACAGGAGGAGCATTGTCAGAGTCCTGCAAAATGACCTCCAACGGGCCAAAAATGTGCATGTGTCTGCACAAACGCTTAGAGACCATTTCCATAAGCATGGTAGGGGGGGCCCAAAGTCCACATATGAGGGTTTTGCTCACAGCCCAACATCTTGCAGGACACTTGGCATTTGCCAGATAACACCAGAATTGGTAAATTTGCCCCTGGTGAACTGTAATCTTCAAAGATGAAAGCAGGTTCACACTGCGTACATGTGACTGATTTGACAGACTGGAGACACAGTGGAGGGTATAGTGGAGACACATTGAAGCTTTGGACTGGCCCACCTGTTCTCCAGAGCTGAATCTGATTGAGCACATCTGGGACATCATGTCTCGATCCATCCACCAATGTCACATTGCACCACAGACTGTCAATTAGTTGTCAACGGCTTTAGTCCAGGTCTGGAAGGAGATCCCTCAGGAAACCATCCCCCACCTCATCAGGAGCTTGCCTTGACATTGTAGGGCGGTCATACAGGCACATAAAGGCCACACACAATGCCGAGCCTCATTTTGACCTGTTTTAAAGACATTAAATCAAAGTTGCATCAGGCTGCAGTGTGCTTTTCAACTTTAACTCTGTGTTTAACTTTGACTCCAAGTCCAGGCACCCCATTGGATGACACATTTGCTTTCCATTAATTGTTTTTCTGTGATTTTGTTGTTAGCACATTCAACTTTGTACAGAACAAAGTATTCAATGAAAATATTTTATTTATTTAGTTTTAGGATGTTTTATTTAAGTGTTCTGTTTATTTTTTAGCAGTGTACATAAAATAAGGTGATTAAGAAGTAAGAAATGCTTGATAGCCCATTCAATTGACCTATAAAGATTTCAAAAATAGTTTTAATCACTAGTGTACTTATTTTATGTAGAAGTCGGCCTAAACCATTCATCCCGATTCTCATGCTGTGAAGATGAACAAGAAAAACCATGCTTGTCTTTTCAATATGGTTTTTCTTTTGTAGAAAGTACGGTGAAACATTTGGGCAAGTTAATGTAGTGTT